CTGCTGAAGAGGAGAAGAGGAAAATATTTTAAGCTATATAAAATGGCAAGAAACAACTAATTAGGCATAGTTGATAAGAACACAGCAGTTGGTAATAAAAAACAGAAGGCGCAAAAGGGAAAAGAGTAAGCATGAGGAGGAATGTGTTTTGTCTGATTTTAATGTAATTTCTGTTGCATAAAATTATATAAAAAAATGATTTTCCTTGAATTATTCTGTAATTTATGTATTATAGAGAATTCTCCTGTTTGGAAAGTGTTATAGCTAAGTTGTTGAAGGAATGATGGTAATTTAAACGAAGTAAACTTGTTCTTCTGGTAGAGATTACAAAATTAAGAATTTGAAGTTAGAAATTGTGACTGGTAAGATGCAGCTATTGCTGAATTGTAATTGTCACCTTAGACTTGAGAAATACCTTGTTAATTCAATATTTTTAAACTTGAGTTTCTAAAGTTTTTCTTTCAAGTCAGTTTTTTCTGTTTAGTCTATGCAAAGCAGAAAGTTACAGTTTATTGACCTGAAATAATACTTTTTTGTTTCTTTATATTTAGAAAGTGGAAGGCTTTCTTAGCAAAGATATCAGCTATCTGATTTCTACTAAAAAGGAGGCAAAATTTGCACCAACTCTTGGTCAGATTTCTCCAGTCCCTAGCCCAGATTCTGCACATAATGGAGGAAATAGTTCGCCTCATCCCAACAGCCGAAGAGATCGACATGATGGAAGTTCACTTAAGACAGTAGATACAGTAAGTTTCTTCCTAAAAATGTCGCAAATCAAGTGCAGCCCATGAGATACTCTTCCAATCTCTTTCCTGTTTTGTTTCCTAACGATGATAGGTCCTTTGGGTCAGCACATTTTTGTTTCAACAGTTCAAACATACTTTCAAAGTAGTTCAGATTAACTGGTTAAATTTTAAACTAACTCAAGCTAAGTAAGCCAAGTTTCAAAAAATAATTAAAAACATTTGCTGCAAATAAGCCAACCAGGCTAAAATTTGTTCTATTATAGCATGCCTGAATTATAAGTAAACATTAATGTTGTTATATTTGACAACTGGATCGGTATGGACAAGCTTGTAATGGCATCTGATGTTCCTAATCTCTTTGGCAATACAGCCTTTTAAAATCTGGCTGCTGTGATTGTGCTAATGCAGAGATATCTACTGAAGCACTTTGACAGTAGTCTGAGAAATAATTAAAATCAAACATCATGAGTGTTCAAATTCTTACTTAGAGGATTGCATTCATAGCAACTGTAGATCCCTAAATTTGTGTAGGCTTACTTTAATTTTGTTACATGAGCAAGTCTTACATCTGCTGAAAATATAGGTAGAAACTAAAACTATAGAATACATGGCACTTATTTAAGAACATGACTCTAAGCCAGTTGGCGAACTGGTCTTTTGTTCTAACACAATGTTACATTGCATGGGTGGCATCACCTCCTCTTGCAAATAACCAAGATAGTATTGGATAGGTAAGTGTATATTCATTACCAACAAATAGTATTCAGTACAAGATGCACTTGTGCTAGAAGAGATAGGGTAAGCGTGAGGTTATGATTACATTCATGACTGCTTAGTTTGACACGTCTCAGCTGATGGAACCTCATTTTTTGGCATTCACTGCTGGCTGCTTATTCCCATCGTATGCATTGTACTAGGATTAACATTGCTTCAGCCTGCCATGGCCTGCTTTAGTTGAAAACTAATTTTTTTTTTTTTGGGGGGTCAGACTGTATCAACTCCAACCTTTGAGGAAAGATGCAAATTAATGACAAGTAGCAGTGCAGTAAACAAAGACTGTTGTAGTTAAACTTTGGCTAACATATCTATTTTAACTTGCCTTACCTTTTGCTTTCTGAAAGGGATTTAAACTTACTGCAAATGTGATGCAGTGTTTCTCTTTTAATGTAGGTACGTATGAGCAGAGGAAAATCTTTAGTTGAAAAGGCAATTAAAGAACAGGTAAGCTGAGTAACCCACAAATTTGTACTTAGAAGTTTCAGTCTTGCTCTTCTAGGAAACAAACACTAGGAAGAAGAATTGGGGTCTAACATGGTTCTCTCATGGAATGTTCAGGCAGAAGTTCTCAGCAGCACTGTCAGGGCATGTTTTCTGGGTACTTGCTGAAGAGTAAAAAGTCTATGTAGAGTCTTATAACCAGTGTTATAACTTAATAAGGTTTTTAATATGTCTAGCATTTAAGAGAAGTCATTATGAAGTTGAAGTAACTGTATCAGTTCAGTGTCTTCAAATTCTTAGTTGCTATAAAATACAACAGTAGAGATCAGTTTTGGCTGTATGAAAGGTAAGTATAATCTCCTTTTGTTGGTGAAGTGCTGTGACATAGAGATGGAAAAGCCAGCTGAGGAAAGTGACAGTTTTGGTTTTTGGCGAGAAGCAAAAAAGAAAGTGTCTCTTGTTTGATTTCAGGTTTTTTACTACTTGATTTATATTACATGTTGCAATATATTAATTAAAAGTATTAATGAAGTTTATTTTTGCAGGAATTAATCCCCTCTGGTAGTATACTCTCGAATGCTTTGAGTTGGGGAGTGAAGATTCTTCATATTGATGGTGAATATTTTTGTTTGATGAATTCTAACTTGAACTTCTAACGTTCATTTAAATATTGTTGTATGCAAAATATTTAAAAAAAAATCACTTAAAACATACAAAAATCAACTCAGCTAAATATAATTCTCCCTCTTTTTGCAAGATATTAAGAATTACATTGAACAAAAGAAAAAGGAGCTCTACCTGGTCAAAAGAGCGAGCAGTTCTTTTAAAGATGTGGTAAGTGGGTCTTCTGTCATTTAACGAATAGTTTTTGACAAATAGCAAACAGACATATTAAATGTTACCTACTGTGAAGCTAATCGATTTCAGTTTAATGAACTCTTGCTCACTTTCAGTTTTTCATTGACTGATGTATCTTATGGGTTGATTAAAAAATACAGTCCCTGGGAAGTAGAAATGAAAGTATTAGCTATACATTTCAGAATTACTGAAAAGTTAAATCCATAGTATAATTGAGTAAATAGCGCATAGGTCTTTGCTCTTGAGGAGGTTATCTAAGAACCAGAAAAAGTGAACTTTATGAAATTTTGCCTTCTGCCTGCTTCGAAAATTAAAAGATTTCAGTGTGGTTTTAGTGTGGCTTAGATTATGGTTAAGTTGCCTTACATAATTTTTTTTCTATGACACTGATTAAAAATCCTTTATTGTTTTGACTAATTGAAATTTTGTTTTCCTGAAGAAGTTGTCTTTAGGGAATATATTATGTGAGTAGCTCAACACTGGTGCGTCTCTTGCCTCCTAATCTTTCTAACAGCTATTGTAAAGCTGTGTGAATCTTGTGTTTTTAAAAAAAAAAAAAAAAAAAAGTGTAAACCTTGATTTCTTCAGTTTTTGGTATAGGATGTGCTTAGACACTGACTCTGTTTGAGCTGCTTGTGGTCCATCTGCAGTTGTTTTTAATTTAAATTTAAATATATGAAGTTGCATGGTTATCTAGTCTAGGCAGGAGTCTGTGGGTATGTTAATGGAAGCATACCATATAGTATGTGTTATACTGTTTTGGAGCGTAATGTTGGTTAATTTTTGAGGCCACATAAAATCCTGATAAATCATTAGCGTATCGGTTTTGCTGAATAGTAGTGGTATTTCCCCCTTCCTCTCCATACAAGAAGTAGAAGTGAGTCTATGTCTTACTAGAGTCAATTACAGTTAAAAGATGATCAGTTGAATCACCTTTTTTTTTTTTGAAATACAAAAGTAACCTGTTCTAAAAGATAAAACACTCCTTTTAATTTTAGCTCTCATTGCTAAACTAAATACCTGTGTAAATCCATTCTAATCAGAGGAACTATTTTAATTGGAAAACGTTACTTCTGTTACTTTTAGTAGTTTTACAACTTGTTTACTAGCATTTATAATGTGTTGTAAAAATGCTACCCATATTTAATAGTCAGCTTTCAGCCTTGTGTTTTGGGGTAAGAGGTAGAGCAAGTGAATAGCTTTACCTGGATTTTTAGAAGAATAAATCAGAACCTCTTAGTGAGAAAAAAAATTCTTGCAGTGTAGAATTAAATATTTCTTTCAGAAACATCTGACCATTTTTCCAAGGTACTGACGAGATTTGTTTCCGCAAAATTAGCGTGACATCATGATTAACCCAAGGAGACCCTCATAATTTAAAAAAAAAAAAAAAAAAGCTACAGTAAAATGCAAAATAATATTCACGGGGGTTTTGTTCTTTCTCTCTTTTTTCTTTTTAATAGGGAAAAAGATGTACTGCTCAAAAGTCAAGAAGTAAGTATTTCCATATTTGTAGAGGCTTTCATGTTGCCTTACTTTCTCAGTGCTTAAAAATGTAGTACAGTTCTCATCTGGTCAAATGTGCTGATGTATTCTAATTTGTAGGCCTGAGAAAAGCTTGTAGAAAAACTTCCTGGAAATCAGGAGTTTGTCAAAACATGTGCATAATGAGTTTTAAAATAATGTCTACTCCTTTATTCAGGTATTGGAATAACTTGCTAAAGGAAGAAAAGTATTTTTCTTTTAATTTTCTTTTTTCTTCCCTGAAGCAGGTAGACTGAAAAACCCGTTTTTGAAGGTGGAAGACAGAAGTTGGTAAGTGTTCTTGTGCATCCAATAATGTGGTTCTCAAACTGAGTCATGGAGAAACACACCATATGCCTTGAGGAGGTAGCCTTCAGATTTCTACTTTGTGAACTTGCTGACTTTAGATGTTATGCATAGCATCCTACTCTAGTAAGATGCAAAATTGTGTGTCACGTGCTCTGGGCAGATATCTGTGTTCAGCCACTGGATTAGATCAAAGAGGTGGTAGTAGTATAGTAGGGAATATTTATGACAGTGGGAGAAAGTAAATTGTAGCTCCAGTTCATAAAGTATAACGGAGGGCTCTTCTGGTTTATGTCCTGCCAAGGGCCAAGTGACTGAAAAGGAAGCTTGGAGTCTATGAACCTTGACATCTTACCTATCTTTTCTTGTATCCCAATCCGGTAGCCTAAAATGTTAATGAAGCTCTGTATATTAACTTACAAGTCCTGTAGTCCCAATTCGGTAACATTGATTTTCTTGAGAAAGTGTTTAGATGTAAAGAAAGTGGTTTTGTTGTACTTGAAATCATTCCTTGAAATTCATTTTAACTTTCTCTTCAATGATTTCTTAAAAATAAAAAGCCATTAATTTAATTTTGATTTCTGTGATGCATAAAATCTGGTATTTTCAGTCTTTCAAATTGTCACATCTTTCTCGTCCCGTGTAAGTAACTTGGTTTCGTTGTACTTATCGAACCTAGTATATAACTTGTTATAGGTAAGGAAATAAGAGTTTGTCAGAAGAAAATAATGAATTATAAGACAGTGCAGTTCTGTACAACATTTTTGCATCTTTATATTCTTAATTCACTTCTACGTTATCATGGTATTTATAAGCTGCAGTTTCTTTCACCAGATGCATACAATTTCTTGAATTCAAAAAAAAAAAATTCTAAACTTTGTCTTACACTGTAAATTTTAAAGTTTACGGCATAGGTGTGAGAGATGTAAAAATAACGGGGAGAACTGGACAAATGAAGTTATAAAAATACAGAAATTGTAATTCCTTATTTTTACATGTATATATTTGTGGATTTGACTTCTGACAGTATGGTATGCAAAAACGTCTACAACTTTTAAATGTTTATGTAACATAAATTACACTTCCAAGGAGAAGGAGAGGCAAAAAAACTGAGCGATCCGTATTTTCTATACCTGATTAGCAATGTGAACTGTTTTCTAAAACCCTAGTAGCTTATAATAGTATTGTAGGAAAAAAATCAGACATAACTCAATGTTTCAGCCAAATTATTTTGTGTGGGTGCTTTTGGCATGCCCTATTTTAAGTGGTTTTAATATATTCAGAGCGCTAGTACAGTTGCTAGTTCTGATATCTTTGAGTCAAATTCTTTGCAGGAAAATTATCTTCCTGGAAAACGGAAAGTAACTTATGTTCAATTTTTTAAATACTTTGAATAATGAATCAACTAAAATTTGTCAGAAAGGAAGAAAAAATTTAGTAAAATGAAAAAGATGCAATGTATTTGATGCTTCGATGTTAGAAATTTCTGTAATTACTTCACTGGAATATAGATGCTCTGTTGTCCAAATTGTTCTTAGTATTATTCGTTACTCAACTCCGCACACTATATAGGCATGCAAGCCATACACTTGTGGAATGTGTAAGACAGCTATTGAAACTCCATGCAAATTTTCTACTTTGAGAAAGTCTCAAGTTGAGAAGGAAGGAATGACTTACCTTCTAGGATATTTATCTGCCCAGCATTCTGTACACGTTTTAGGTAAAAAGGGAGAAACGCTTTTTGAAAGATGATTGAGTTTTAAGGCCAGACTGTAATTTGTGATATCAACTACTTCTTTTCATTTTCCAGTGGTTCTAATGCAACTGTTTTGTCTAATACAGCCACTACAGACCATTTTATCTGCAGTTACCCAGCTTTCCAGTTCTGAACTACTGTGTTCCAAAACCATATAGTCCATTTGAGGCAGATAAGAAGCATCCTTCTGGTCAAAAACAAACTCAGTCTAAGCAAAGGTTTGTTGAAAAGTCATTATTGAATTGTGGATAGAGGAGAAGGAGGTGAAGAGTCTGTTCTCCAAAATAATTGCTTCTCTTCTAATTTTGCGTGATTCTTAGTGCTGATGTCCAACAACACCTCAGTTGTTGTATTTGCTGCGCTGTAGCTGTTGGTGTCTGTCTATCTTTCTGTACCTTCTTTCTGTCTTTAGTCCTTCATTTGGACACACAGATGCATACATCCTAATACATGGCCTTCTCCTATCGCTGTGGGTCAACATAAGGTATTTGTTTCCCTTCCGCTGCTGGTTTCTTCTTTGTCCTCATCCTGGATGCCATCCAATAAGTATTTTACAAGTAGTAAATTTCTTGGGTCTTGGTTTGACATTTGTATAGTCAGTATAAACTAGACAGTTAAAATGTTTAAAACAGTGGTATTCAGTTGTGGTGCAAAATCATTGTTGCTGAAGGGCCCACCTGCTTTACGTGGAGAATTAAATTTGTAAAATTAGGCTCAGCAATATTACTTGAATTCTTGAGACATGAAAAGCAGATACTAAATTTAGGAGTAGAATTGTGGTTGGTCTTATAGCAAACATTTACGTGGTATGTTTTGGCATTCGGGCTGCATTTGAGCACTCCAGATACTAATCTACCGAAAATAGCAACTGTTTTATGATTTGACTCTACTTAAGAGTTTCTATTCTGTGGTGAATCGAACTCTTACTTTCCTGAACTCCTTCTACATAGTATATCTGGAGGATTAATGACTATTTCATTAACTTTAAAATTGATGTTACAATATTCAGGCTAAAGTTATTTAGTGAGAAAAAATGTGCTATGCATGGTACTTTCTGTATCTGGTAACTTTTTTTTTTTTGCTCTTCTGTCCTTTGCAATTTGTGATACAAATGACTTCATTTTGCAAGTGTTTTCTCTAATAGAGCTACTACTGACCATTTTATCTGCAGTTACTCCGTTTTCCGGCATGATATTCCTTTTCCTTATAAAAAGGAACGTGTGATTTAGGTGTAATACTTGATTTCTTTATAAAGTAGTTCCTGCACTGTTCAGGGTTTGTACAATCTTCAGTGTTATTATGCTGTTGGAAGTTTTCAGTTTATGTTGCCATGATGTCCTCTTCATTTGGATTGCAATGACTGTGGCAATATGAAAAAGCAAAGGAAATGTAATACAGCGGTAACATTTGCAATAATGAGGGGATTTCTAATGGTGCCTTTTTCATTTAGAAAGGGGTTAGAAAGGCCCAGTTGTGTTAAACATTTTCCTAAAGATAAAACGTTCTTTTTAATTTATATGGACAAAGGAATATGATATACTAGTTATAAATTTCAGGAATTTGGCTGGTATGGATATTTCTATTTAATTTTTCAATTTGGCACATTTCACAGAGGTATTTAGGTGGGAAATTATTTCATACCTAGCAGGTGAAAGTGAGGGCCATCAGGAGGGAAAAGGGGAAATGCTCATTTGTTTTATGTTTTATCTGGGAAAGAGAAGCTTGTTTAAGGTGAGTTGTCAATTCTATTTGCTTCTGCATAAAGCAAGACCTACCAACATCATTCATTCTTCAGGTGATAGGTTCTGCCACTTGTATCCTGTCCTCACAAACTTTCCTGATTCTTTTTTAATTGTTATAGTTCTAAAGAAAGAAAGTGAAAAGTTTCTTGTAATAGAAGTAAAAATACACATTCAGAGCCTATCCTGTGAAATAAAAGAAATGTTGGGATAGGTATTGTTAAGTTAGACTCTAGTTAATTGAAAGCTGTTGCAGAAAGTAGCAAACACATATTATGCTGAGCAATACATTGCTGTGCTTCATGGAAGCTGGTGATTTTTCTGGATAGAGTTTGATATAAAGGTGGATGAGGTTGCATCTGTGCTAATACTTAGTTAAGTCTGTCATTATGACAGTGCTGATTTTTGACTACACAGGGAGATGGCACTGTTCCTCTGAGGTAATAGGGATGTAGAGATTGGTGCTTTTGGTTTACTGCTAGTGTAGCCTCCTTTGGAGGTACCATAGCAAATTGCAGTAAACAGTAACTCTCTCCAGGTGAAGGCTGTGAAGGCAATGGAACTGCTATTGAACCACAAACATCATTGTGGTTTAATCTGAGGGAAGAACTTGAGATTCATTTCCACCTATTTCCACTTAAACTTGTACCAAGAAAAACAGGTCAGAAAGGGTATTTGGTGGGCATGTTGAAAGCTACGTTCAGGCAACAAATATGACTGTTCTTTATTTTTTCCAGCAATGAGAGGTCATCTATTAGACCAAGTGCTTCTGCTGCGTTTTTTGCTTGAAATCAAAAACACTTACAGCAGATGAGATGCTAGGATACTTCTTCCTCTTTCTTCTAGCTTTTATTTTTACCAATTTCTGTCTTTTACCAGCTGTTCACTGAGATTTCAATACTGCCTTTGATTTGTCAAGTGCGTTTTTGTTTGGTTTTGTTTTGTTTTGTTTTTTAAGCGGTTTTGCATTGTTTCTTCTGAGTCCGTGATAGTAGTGCAACAGTACCAGCCTGGACATATTTTTCTCTTTCATATAGTTTCACTGGGTCTGCCTATCTTGCTGCAGTAAATCTGTTTGTTTGTTTTTGATTTTAATTTAATCAGCATGTTATGTTTCTTTTCTGTGTTTTTCCTAAGCATTGACTAACCTAATGTAAATATTTTGAGGGGAAATATAATTTTTTGAAATTTATTGAATGAGTGAACAGGCAACTTGAGAAGCAACTGCAGGGCTCAGCTCTATATGTAAGACTCATTAACATCTGTCTTTTCTGTTAACAGAAACAAAACAAATAGTGAAAAGGACTGTGGAACTCCTGTTCAGCTCCCTCAAAGGGATAAAAAAAAGAGAGGATATTGTGAATGTTGTGGGAAGAAATATGAAGATCTGCAAACTGTATGTAAAATGTCAAGTTTATGCTTTCAAACAGTCTTACTTTATAAGTGTGATATTAACAACGATCCTTACTTGCTAGTTTAATGTATTTTTTAATTTTAAAAGATCTTTTAAATATATCTTCTAAAAAGCAGCAAGCTGGGGTTTTTTGTTTTGTTTTGTTTTTTTCCCTTCCTTGAAATAATTCCTGATTGCTGGCTCTAGGTGTGGCAGCTGAAGACACGCCCTAGCAGTTCATGTGTCAGAGACACTGTTAATAATAAATTAGTAACATTAAACTTATTGCTCTGTATCGTAGTGTTGATTTGTATATGCACATCTCTGGTAGTAGCTTGCTTTCATGACTCTTCTTTAATTCCAGCATCTTGAAAGTGAACAGCACCGAAATTTTGCACAAAGCACACAGTATCAAGTTGTAGATGATATAATCTCCAAGTTTGCTTATGAGTTTGTTGAATACAAAGATGACACAAAAAAAATTAAAAGGTAAGTTACATGTTCTTCCTTCTAAAGCTCCTCTGAATGAATTAAGACATTGAACAAGAAGATACTTCTGTTCTTAAACTGAATCTGGTGCAGAACAAGTTCATGTGTTTCAAGTACATTTCTGAAATTTGGAGTGCGATTGTTACCTGGTACATTAGTTCTCTAAAACAGAAATTAAAAAAAAATAAAAAATAAAAATTGCAGATGGCATCATAGGAAAATAAGACTGGAACAAACTGCCCAAAATTGTCCCATCTATCCTTCAGCTTCGTAAGAAGCAAGATTAACTGATCTGAAGTCTTGTTGACAGAAGTTTGTTTGGACATCTCGCTCTAAAAGCCTTCTGATGTTCTTAGTAGTCCAAGAATTGTAAATGATAACCTCCCTCGTCAATCTGATCTGCTTACCAGTGGGAAAACTTTTCCTAGTTTCATACAGATCTTCCTGTCTAAGACTGTTAGTTTCTGTTCGTCCTGTGCTGGACGAAGAAAGTAGTTTTTCTTTCCTCTTTGTAGCTGCTTTTTCCGTATTTGAATGCTTGAAAATAACACTTTCTACTTCCTTTGCACTCTATAAAAAGGATATGTATTTTTTTCTATAGCAATTTGGGCATATTAAAACTATACTGTTACTGATTTGTTAATGTTTGTTATTAGTTGTATTTATTTACTGTGCAACTAAAAATGCAAAATTGTATAAAAATATCTACACAGAGCTCTGTTATCACTGATATTTAAAAAAGAAAAGCAACTAGAAGTAGGTAAAATATAGTAAGCCTCCAAAATTCAGTTGTTCCCTTCCCTCTCCAGTCTCTGCGTGTATACACACGCACCTGTTTATCAGTATTTTCATCCTCTAAAGTTTAAGTGGGAGAAGGAGAGGACTTTTATCCTGAATTATTTAAGTTAAAGTGTTGGAGTAAGTTCGAAACTGTAATGCTTCTTAGAGGGTGTTCTTCCATTGGGTCTTTAATATATGCATTAAGCACAGGTGTCTCTGTTACTGGCAACAGTGACTCTGCTTTATTGACAAATGAATCAGGAGATAATGATTTTCTCATTTCTTTAAAAACAAAAAAGTTGAAAAGATACCAAGTTATTTGCAGTGGAATCAAATGAAATGCACACAGAATCGGTTGATACCCTAATGAAGGCAAGCATGTTTTCCTTTTTGTTTTGTGACATGAAAATACTCAGAGTGGTTAGGTCTGAAATATTATTTCAGGAAAATCATATCTAATTATGCTTCTTTTTTGTGAACGTATCAGAATATTTGTAAGTGTTTATAGTCATATATTCGTTAACTTAACTTTATTCTTTATACCGTTATGACCTGAAATTTATTTAACTGCTAGACTGCTTACTTTGGGTGTTTTTAAAACCATTCCATGAGAATTTAAAACAATTTCCATGAGAAATAAACAGGAAAACATCAACTTCAGATACAAGGCATGCTGTTCCTATGGAAATAGTAGTTTTTGTGTGTGTGCATGCGTGTCAGTTTGGTTGCTTTTCTAGATCTTTTTGCACATTGCTTGGTTAAAGTATTACCCTTGTTTCTTTCAACTATTTGCTTGTTAATCATTGTTAACAATTTTGTTGTAGGACAAAATGTAGTACAGGATATTTTTCTCCTATTATTGGAAAGGTAACTAAACCAGATGAGCTGAAAGAACGACTGAAAAAGCAACGCATTTCATTGAAAAGTTACTCATGGAAGGATACTACAATGCGGGCGCTCAAACTGGATCATCGGCCTGCAGAAGTACACCCAAATTCTGTGCCACTACCTACCCCTGTTTCTGGATCTGTCTGTTCAGTTCTTTATTGTCATCTGTCACAACCTTCAGAAGTAAAAATTAAATTCAGAAATAATGATGAAAATATTAAAACTGATTGTTCCAGTGCTGTAAATGTAAAAGAGACTGTTACATCATCAAACTTCACACAGCCACCTCCTCAGAAAGATGACAAAGCAAACATGAAGAACTTGTCTCAAGCTTATGAGCCATTCAGTAAAGAAATCTTTGAACCAGAAGTACATAAAAAGAATTTACAGAGCTTACAGGCAGGTATGAGTACTTTATATTCTCATACTCAAGGTACAGATTTTATTGAAAAAGATAAAAACTTATCTCAGCCAAAACGAAAGTTAAATAATGCAGTAGTTCAACCAGCAAAGTGTTTGAAGAAAACAGATGCAAATCCTGTGTTTATCAAAAAACATCACAATTTGTGTGATGATCATCAACAGATGCAGCACAGTTTCATTCTGGACAGTAAGGCATCTGATACTGCTCTAAACAAAGAACTTAATGGATTGGCTGCCAGCACTGCACACAGTTCGCCATCTGGAAAGCTGCACAGAAAAGTAAAACTTTACTTAGGAAGACATAAAAGAGAAAACCGGAAACGGAATATAGAGTTGTGTATAAAGTACACTGATGGACTATCTGTTCCTGAAGAAAAGAAAAGTGCTTGTAGCTCACCAGTGCAGGCTTTATTGGAATTATTTCAGACCAGTGAAATAAACTCAGATTTTGGAGGTTTTTCAGGTTACACTGAGAACAAAGATTCAACGAGCATAAAAGATATTTGGGAAGGGCAGAATACAAATGTTGCGTGGTCACTGTTTTCCTCTTCATCCTCATCCCCGTTTGTTGGATTTTAATGCTGCTTTATTTAATACAATGACTTTCAAATAAATTTGCAGATGGAAGATTTTATTCATGGAAACTTTAATTCCTGTGTTATATATTATGTATGGATGGTTTTGTTTTCAAAATCTTTTTTATCTTTATACACATTGCAAAAACATCTGTATGTGTAAATATGAAAAATAAAAATAATCAAGACAATTTTTCTTTAGTAGTATTACCTTATCAGAGCTAGTAAAAGGCTCTCACCTCAGGTTTTGGGTTGAATTAGTTGCTAGGCAAGATCAATAAGCATTATGTAGTTGTTTTTCAGTAGAATAATTTTCTAAAATCCAGTAGAATAACTTTCTAAAATCATTGAATGTGCACGCTTATGTGCCACATTATAAGTGAACGGACATGCTGTCATAAATAAGGTGGTACGTTACTTACGGACCACTAGTGATTGGTGGAGATTTGGTTGCTTCTCTTCTTCCTTCTGCTGCTGCTCTCTTACTAGAGGATGCAAAAAAGTCACTTGCTTTCCTAAAATTTCTTCTGCTGAAGTTGTCTCGAGGAACCTACATTATTACAAATAAATAGGGTTAGGAAAGCATGTAGTGTGTATTTGCTACTCTGCCATAATTGATTTTTAGACTAAACCTAGCGGTGTTGGGTATTTCAGCCATTGGGAAATCAGTGGATGTGTGTTTTAATTTTTGTTGTTTTTAAAAAGGCAACAACAAAAACATCCAAGGGGTTTCTGATTGACTCAGGTTCTTGCTTTGGTTTTTCTTTCAGAGTAGCCGGCCTGTCTGCCTAACTTACTTGGAGGGAGAGTGAAAGTATACAAGTGAGAATTGGGAATTTTTTTTTTTTAAATTCCTTGAATCTTTGCTAGAGCTGATTCTCTTTGGGCTTTCTGTATCTGTAAATCGGTGCTGGGCATGAATACTGAAGTACAGGGAGGTAATTGCAAAGCTTTATTAATAAATATAAGTGCCTTAATATTATATGGGAGATCTAAAACAGCAGAAACTACTCTCATTTCATTTTGCATAAATTAATTGTTTGCACTGTATCTTCCCCCCCATTTAATATTTTCAAAAGTTCTGTCATTGTTCTTATGGTTAAAGTACTTTCAGTAGCTGTGTACTATTATTTGTCTTTAGGTAGAGCATATCTGCTGACTAAGAGGGGTAGATACAGCTTCTTGGAGTGCAGAGAGGTGTGAGGTAGATAACAAAATTGCTTTCCTTTAAACAGCATATGAATTGGAAGCCTAATGATCTGCTTGTGTGCAAGTTGCAAGGGCATTGTCACCTTAAGGGCAGTGTTCCTCAATCCACTGTTAAGTGTAATGGTCTACAGGACCTGGTAAGAACTGCTTTTGGTTTCACAAGCTTGCTGGTCAATTCTGACTTGATTTATACTTGCTTCTGATCTGTGATCCAGAAGAAAATGAAAAAGGAAGCCATTAGAGATATAAGCAAAGTCAACATTTTTAAAAGATATTGATCTTTAATGTGTGTCTCCATATATATTTTGCCTGTAGGTAACCACTATTTAGTATTTTAGGAACGGGGCTTTAAAGTAGAACACTGAAGTAATTACTTTGTTCTTCATTTCCAGTGACTTTTTTTCATGATGGAAAGATTGCTCTCTGATTCAGTGAATGTAGTGTATTTTAGGAAAAAATGTTTGCTAATTTGTCTTCTGTTGAGGATGTTTGTTTAGCTTAGGTTCAGTACTAAAGCCAAGTCTAAATAGTAAAATGTGCGTCTTGCCCTGACACACATTACAACAATCTATTTGTAGGCGCCCCTGCCCCACTCTTATTAATCTAACCTGGTGGCCTTCATCTGACTGGAATATGTATACATATTATATACATAAAGATTATTGTATTAGTAGAATGCTAAGGTGAAAACTAGTCACAGTTAAATAAATCTACTTGTCACATCACTGATCATAGTGTTTTCCATGTTGTATGATTAGATTCAGTATAGTAACGTGGTAGCTCAGTGGACACCGTATACAAAGACGATTTAAACATTAATTAAAATCTGGCTTTGGAACCTTACAGGGAAAAAATTCAGAGGTTTGTTATTAAAATTATATGAAGAATATTCATCGTAATGCAGAACAAGATATAACAGTCAACTTTACTGGTTCCAAAACGCACTGTTAGTTGTGATGCAGATTTTGCACGTAGATGGCCATAGTCATTTTAAAAGCCCCCTTTGTATGTAGTGTATCCAGATAGGCTTACTGTGGCTTGTGGTGCCATTAACTTTATTTCTGAAGCAGACCTGTTCGATGTATTGTGCGTAATTATCATGCATTTATCTTCCAGGCTTGGTTTTTAAAAACGGTTTTTCCGAAAATGTAAAAGGAATTATTTTACTATTTGAAAAATTAAATAGGGACAAATATTCCAGTAACTAGTTTTCCATTTCTCTGATTTCTTCCCAAGTCTGAAGAGAAATGAACGTCTTCAAAACGTGTGGCAGGAATTCTGAGACAAGTCAAACACAATCACAAATCTCTTAAGTCATTGGACTAAAGGTTTAGCACTAGAAGTGCATTTTATTTGTAAGTACATCTTTGTGATAATTATACATAATAGTCTGAACTCTCTTCATAGTTCTGCAACTTTCATCTGAGGCCACTTTATTCTTGAATAATCTGTCTTTCTGTGAATTTGAGACGCTTGTTTAGGTGGTTTTAGTATTCTGTTTAAAAACAGTTGTTACTGTACTAATAGTGACTTCTTTTATTGGCAACTAGTGAAACTTGGAACTGTATTCCTGTAGTTCTTTTCAGTGTGTATATATGCCTATGTATAGAGTGTGAGAATCAGTTTTAATGAAGCATCTGAATCTTACTGTTACAAAAGCTGTAAATTTTAACATTTGTGTCAGACACTACTTCATTTTAAAGTCTAATTAAAAAAAAAACACCCCTAGACTTTTACATTGTAAAAGGACTCTTAATTGTGTGATTATCCTGGGGCCCAATGACTATTGCCGTTTCTTTTTTATAGGTGATGCAAGCATATTTCTGGGGGTGTGAAAATTTTTAGCATAACCTTACAGTATTAAAATAGAAGGCATATGTATGAACGCACCCGTACCGTTACTGAAAGCCCGGCCAGACAGTAGACTAGCTTGGTAACTTAGCGTAAGGATGAGTTGTAACTCAATGTCTGTTCATACCTACTTTGTGCTTTATGTACTGCTACAGAAGAGAGCAAAATCATTCAGTAAAGTCTTTTAAAATGGAAGCTGTAGCTACATAATACAAAGATAGGAATGATAACCAACGTTAAAATCAGCTTTCAAAATCAATATTTCTTTTAAAGTATTAGAAGAGAAGTGCTGTGATCACTTTGGTATGTCTACACTAGCAATTTGGTTTGGTATCTTTTTTGCAGTGGATGCCTAACCACTGCATGTTATTTTGCTCCACAGTATGTTTCTCTTCAGAAAAGTCTATAGTGTGGGTGAGAGGACAGAGTTCCCAAGGACCTGGAACGGTACTCTGTGTGTGTGTGTGTGTGTCTGTATATACAGAGAGAGTGCGTGTACATGGATATAGAGTGAGAGTGGAGATGCATGACTCAAGCCTCACAAGCATAAGGAAGTCTGCAGTAATTTCTTGATGTTTCATACATTCAGGTGAGCCCCAAGAAGACCTTGTGCTTGAAAAGAATTTGGCAACCTCCTGTAACGATTGAAGTCATTCCTGGGTTTTATTGTTTTTCTTCTTTTCTTTCTTCTCAAAATAGCCATGCTTTCTCCCTCAGTACTGTTATATGTTACACCAAGAGTGGAATTTCCTGGCTGCAATAACAGTTGGCAAAGGCTCTTACTGCTCTTGGCTATGACAGGAGTGCAGAACTGTCCTACTTCACCTTCAGGAAGGTGAAGACCGACTAAGACGAGCTAAGCTTGGGTCAAATAGCTGACATTTAAAGAGCAGTGTGCTAAAACATGTCCATACCTTTATAATGAAACAAAATACTTGTCAGGAAGATACATGATGCCATTTGTGGCCCACAACACTGGGCTTACAGCTAAATGGAAATGATGAAAGCCAGGACTCACAGGCTATCCTCTGAAATTGAGATCAACAGCTTGGCTGAGAAGGCATTCAGCAGGGTAGGGACATTATCCCCACGTTCTTTTCCTTTCCATTCCATAGGCGATGCTGTGAGACCTTTGGCTGCTAAGCAGTAGAATTTGCAGGAAAAAGAGGCCATGCTTGGAGGACGTTCCTTTACAGGTAAGGAACTATCAACCATCCCATCTTTGTTACTATGCTTCCCCTGCAGACAAAGGAAGTAGTGGGATCTGTAAGCAGTAATGTCCCTTGCTCAACATCGAACTGTAGAACACTTGCAACAAAGCAACAGCTAGGCAACTGGAAAGCAGGCCTTCCCTTCTGAGCTAGTAATAGCAAAGGTAGTGTAAAAATAGCAAAGCTTGTTCTCCCTACTGGGGTCCACGGTTGATGGGCAGATGGTGTATCAGGCTGGTGGTACAAGAAATGGCATTGCCCTGCTGAGACCAAATTGAATGGAATAATTTCTCGGAGCATGTTAACGTCTGTTCTGACCTTCAGAGGTCACCAAGGTGCAGGAGGTGATGAAATTTATGTTCCACCTCAATCCTGTAAGAAAACAGTCCACTTGAATTATCCATTCTCACTAGTGTTTTCTTGTGTTGCCTCCTGGCCTACATGAGTTCAAGGCATATGACTCCTTAGCTACAGGGGGGTTAGTCCTTCATAGAAGGTTCCAGCAACTGTGGCTGTCAATCAGGCTGGCCTTTACACGACCCCTGGGCAGACATCTTCAACCTGATTGGCCAAAGGGCAACCCCTGGTACTCTGCTACTATGGAGGACCTTACATCTAAGTCCCCAAACAGGTCTGCATGCAAATAAGGGATTGAGAACTGACCAATCGGCACATGGCACGTGTTAGTGGGTATTGCCTACGGTCACCATTTGGCTGCGTATAAAAAGAGCTGCAGCCTTGTGCGCGCGCGTGTGCCGACGACGACGGCGGCAGAGTGAGATGGAGCAAAGAAGACAGAGCTGATCACTGTAGCGCAGTGGCCTTGTTAAAGGCTCCAAGAAGCTAAGTGGCCTTTCTCAAGGCCTTCGCCAGAAGCTGTGGGATGGCAGACGAGGAGGCTGGAGCTTCCGCTCACAATCCTGAGCTGGGACGCCAGACCAGGAGCCGCCAGAGGAGTCCCTAGAGGAGCCACTACACCAGGGCCCAGTGGACAAATAAGCATTAATACAGTTGGAGTACCAGGAGACGGCACGCCTGTAGGCATGGCCTGATTGGGCAGGCACACATGTCGGTGTGGCTGGATTAATAACACGGTTGCAGTACTGGGGAGAGGCGTGTTCGTCCGATGTGGCCTTGCAGGTGGTTTTTATATTAAAAAAAATATATATATATATATACACACACTCACATGCACGCTCACACACACACAATCTCATTTCCTTTGGACGGATTTGTTATTCCCTCTATACGTGCATCTTTATATTGTTTTATTTATGTACCTATGTTGTAAATACTGTGTGTGTGTGTATATATATGTATGTAAAAAAATTTGAGGTTTCCAGTTATAACTGTTCTTGTCATTGTTAACTATTACTTGCTATTAAAGAGTTATTTGTTCATTGACATTGTATGGCGATGAATGGATTTACAAACACCTATACCACCATCCCAAACCTGTTCAGTTCACAGTCCTTTATCCACTATCCCCACCATGCCCTTCTGTTGGGGTGCTCGCCCCTTTGGGTCAGACTGGAATGGGGTGAATGGGGTCCCTTCATTCCTTAAGCTGAAGAGCCTCTGCTCTGAAGGACTCGGCTAATGTAACCAGTGTTGGTATTCATAAACCTCCTGTGGTGGTCTACAAGGGCAGGCATGATGAAAAAACGGTAGCTCTTCTAACTGCTGTAGTCGTAGTGAGGTACCAGATAAAAACAAGAACCCCCTTTATGCCTCCTCAGTTGGAGAATCGCCATGAACTGTGGTCCACGTGTCTGCTGGGCTGTTGTTGATGTGCACCAAGGGTTGATAAAGGCAGCCCATAATGGGCTTTTTGATCGCATTGCTGGGTGATACCAGCACAGCAGCATCAGGGTCATAGTCTGTCTTGGCCTTAAATAGCGTTCTATCCAAGGCTGGAAATAACTTTCTTAAAGTCATCTTAATCTATAGATGTTTTGTATCTGAGATTTTTGAGGCATGCTGCTGGATCCCATTAAGAAATATTATGTGAAATTACTGAAAACACAAAGTGTAAAATAAAACTAGAAACAAACGTTAGCAAGCTTTTATGTGATTCTTGAGTGGATATTTACTTGCAACTAGAATCCCCTTTAAATACAATAGAAAAGCAGGACAGGCATAATCTCATTAAAATCTGACAAACCAGTTATTGTCTTTCAAATGCTTACTATTACCTAAATGTAGCACTATCTTCTATATGCCTCTAATCCCAACCCTTGAAGACAAATGAGAAGAAATTGTACAGTTTGTTTATGTAGAATATATATATATTCTACATCTATATGAGGCAAGCTAAAAGTTGAATGGCAAAATGCATTTCTTTGCATAATTAGTTCCCTAGACCAAATAAGGAGATTGTTATTGTATGTAAGAATACGATACAGGTGAGTACCGTGGGTAGTACCAAGCAGTGGTAATATCACCACTGATACCTGTAGCAGAGTGAAGACAAGTATGAACTGATTTTACTAACCAGATTGACATGTCCAAAGATGACACAAGATAGATATCTGGTTTTTACTGTGATTCCGTAAATGTTGTGGTTGGGCTTCTGATATTCAACAGTGTATTCGCATTAGAGAATATGGTTATGCAAAATGAGCATTCCAGATGTAGCACCATAAAAAGATGTGGGAAACAGAGCAGGTATGTGGGTGTATTCAGATGTCATTTGGGATAAAGTAGCTTTAGAGTCACATGGCTATCAAATGTAAGCCAATTTTTTTTTATTTTGGAATTCTCAAAGTTGGGGGAGCCTCACTTCAAGATTCAGTGTCTCTAGTGTTCTTTGAGTATGTAGGCAGTTGGGCTATAAAAGACAGTCTTTCTCTCACCCTCAGAACAGTTTTGCAGCATGGATCTCCAGCAGTAAAAAACTGAAAGTTACTCCAGGGAAGTCAGTTGCCAAATGATTCACTTCTGAGGCTCAAGCCACTAGGCAGAGTGGGACTTCGAACAACGGTCTCCCCCATGTTGGATCCAGGCAGTGCACCAGCAGATGGCACGGGGGTTCCACCTTGCAGGTATAATGTCTGTGAGCAGGAAAATCAGGCCTCGTTAGGTAAGTGGCTCTTGGGAAGAGGAGGAGTCTACTGGTCAGAGAAAGACCTCTCAATCTTATCCTATAGGTTTGTTTAGCTGAGGAGCTATTTAGCTGGTCTCTGAGGATAGCTTTCGCTACTAACTTTCCTTATATAACTCTAGGGGGTACCTCAGAGGATCTAAGCAGGAAAATCCTAAGTCAATGTATATTTTCTGTGTTGTAAAACATACATGAGACTTTTGAACAATTCTTACTTTATTGGCACCCTACTTTCCAGCCCCTTGAGTAAATGCTCTTTTGGGGAAAATACGGAAATTGAGACCCTTTTTTTATGTCGTAAAGAAAAAACTTAGTTTTCTGTATACCACTAGAATTTCAGAGAAATTACCAATACTAAATCATTCTTGTTGCTCACCCAGGCCAATCTCCTACTTCCAGCAGTGGCCAGCAGCAGTTCTGTACTAGTTATGTCACAAGAAGTGCAAAAAGAGTGCATTTCAAATGACTAGATGGGGAATAATTTCCTCTTCCCACACAAAAGTCATGTTTATAACCTTAGAATGAAAAACTGGGTAAA